CAACCATGGAAAGATAAACAATCAAACAACGTGTTAAAGTTTCAAGAGTGCAGTTGAAAAAATTGTTTGTAAATTAAAAAAAAACTGAGTTGGTGGCAGATGTGAAAACACCATTGCGTGCTCGTTCAGCTGAAAGCATTGCTGCAGTGCACGAGAATATGTCCGAAAATCCAGGCACCTCTATTCGTTATCACGCGCAGGAATTGTACCTATCCACAACAACGTTACATCTTTTCCAATTACACTATCGGTTGGTCGACTATGTTGACTAAATAATCACAAAGTGTGCGAAATGCATTTCTGTTTGATAGTCCATTTTAGTGATAGACTTCGATAACTTTAACACGTTGTTTGGTTGAAATTGCCAAAGACTTAAGTTGTTAAGTCTGAAAGAAAAAGAAAAAATCATTAGACTCTTAAACTTAATTCACATTTAAAATCGGTCCAAGTTATTGGAACACCTTTTATATATGGGAATTATCGTGACTACTATTGATCGCTATATTCTAGTCTATCCTGTATAGTATTCGGATCTCTATTTCTGCTCTATCCCCTATTATTATTCGGACAGCTATTCTCTACTCTATTCACTATACTATTTCTCTATTCAGATCACTATACGGATTACTATTCGAGCGAGTATTATCGAGCAAGTACTATTCCTGCGAGTGTTATACGAAGGCGTCTGACACCGGTATTGTTCAACAGCTTTACTATAGCTGAAATCTGCAATTAAAAAGTCTCTACTACAACGTGTATTACAAAAGTGAGAATGAGTATTTGTTGACATCACAAAAGAGATAATAATGGTTTAGTGATACAAGTATTAGTAATTAACCCATAGCTGGAGGAGAAATAGGTGGATTCATATTTTTCCAAAGGTTATTTGATTGCGCTGTGGTAGATGTATTTTAAGACCAAAATGCTCACTGAGTAAAACAAATGCAGAAAACCTTGTAAAAATTCCAAATCAAAAATCAGGTACGTATCAGGCGAGGTACTTATTGACATAACTTTGTACGTTTTCATAATTTCAGATATGTCTTCCTTAATGCAAATTTATTTTAAGGATACCCAATGGTAATAACGAAATTAAGAGTTTTCATACAGGCATGAGATCTGGGTTCTCTTCTCCCAAGGGTTGATTTATCAGGAAAGTGATTCTTGATGTTATCGGCCTGGGGAGTCGATCCCAGCGTACGGCACCTTTGGAAAGTACCTGAAAACCATACCATGAGTTGACCCAACCTTTGGCACTGAAACTGTATAGACGGAATTCTTCGTCGTTGGTTGTGCTAGCAGGCCTTGTTCAAACTATTGATCACTACAGATGATCTGCTCTCTCCCAGAAACCGTAACTAAGGTCCGCTCATCATAGTTGCAGTATAAAGCACAAGTGGACCGTTGGTGCTAAACATTAACAAATGTGCCTGAGCAGGGGTCTACAACAGGGATTGGCTAGCCACACTAGCAGACTGGCATACACGGAAATGGCGGCCAGTCATTATTATACTGGAAATATTCAGGATTCATTGACCGATCAGTTAGCGTTACTGTTGAAATTTATAAAATCTTTCTCTTAAAAGAATTTAACAGGGCATCAAATTCTTAAGCTAAATACTGTATATACTCGCGTACTATGCGACCTTTGAAGATCTAATTTTGAAGCTAATTTAACAACAGTAAATGTATATATAGTTTTGTCAACGGTATAGCCAGGGCCAGAGAGTACATACTTTAATTTTATGTATGATGCGACCTGCTTAAAATTAGCTTCAAAATTAGGTCTTCAAAATTCGCATGATACGCGAGTAGATACGGTAATTTATCGCTCTTTCTAGTATTGATGGTAGTTTTATGTAAGGTATTGTGGAAATCGATATCTTCATGATATCAATATTTTCCGTTCTAACTTTATGTGCCTCCAATTTTTGGTTGTTTCTGCTGTTGGAAGCTTTTAATTGATATGTATTTTGCTATTTCGATAAAACGTTTTATTTGTGGTCCTGTAGCGCCAGTCTTTAGTGTTCGATGAAGCAAATGTACCCATATGCGACAATATATGGAGTACAGCTAGTTATAATGACAGTAAAATGTTTCATTTATCCTGAAAAGTAACCCCACATAAGTTCTCATCAATTCAATGATACCAGTCTGCAACTCAGAGTTTCATGTGACAACAATCATCAAGCAAAAATAATTCGGAACTAAGCTATATTTGTATTTCTATATCTGTCAATAGCGTCCCAGACACGGTAGTTCAGATTATGAGACCAAGGAAGACATTACTTTTGCGTGACATGATTATGGAAAAAATTTCGGCCAGCCACCCCTTAAATCAGCTATGCAGAACTGTGATTCAACTAGAAGAGGTACAGTCATTCCTTCAATGATAATGCGAGACCACCCTGTCCAGTATGTGTGGAAAAGAGGGAGCGGCACAATATGGCCTTCCTTGCTCACATTATAAAAGACGTCAATATTCCTGGGGTGGTGACTAATGCGGTAAGCTACTTTGTAGCCACGGTGTTAACGCCTCTCGATACATCACCTAAAGGTAAATTTGAATGTTAATTTTATGCGTTGTAGTGAAATGGATATCGGTTCGGAATTAGAAATCGGAGAGCCGTGTTCAAATTCCAGTCGGGTTCGTTACAGTAACGCGCAAATACCCTTGGGAAAGGCAGGAATCCATCTCTTTCCCTACCCATCAAACTTGGTTGGCAGAAAGAAACACCAACCTACTGCAGGAAAATCTTCTGCCTTGTCAGTTATGAATCAAAAGAGACATCATCGCCCAACCGTGTATGACGTATGGCACTTAACTGACAGAATGCTTTGCGCATACTGCGTGACATGACGTCTGATCATCTGTTTTTTTTTTCTTGATATTACTTTAGCGATGTATGTTTGTAAAATATACTTATAACAGATTTGTGAAACTAAGAATTTTTTTATACGTTGAGTCATTCGGGCATGTTTTAATGCTTTTACCACAATATTTCGTGTGCATGCGTGCACGTTCCTAGATCTAGCCAGAACTTTTTAAGAAAATATAGTATATATTTCGATATATATTAAATATAGTATTTACAAATTGATTCAATAATTAAATTAAAAGATCTCTTGGCTTGAGTTAAAGTGAAATTTATTTCTAGGCAATCGACACGTTCTGGTTCCAGTGCCCCCCCCCCCCGCCCCAACTTGCAGAAACAGTAATAAACTATTAACTGATTTGACGTTTACAGTTACCTTGATTGTCTGTGTACCATGATATAATATTTAACCTCCCGATAGTTTGGAAGAGTAGTAAATATTGTACAAGTAGATACCAAATTAATCAGCCATTCATTCATAAGCAGCCAAGGGGACAAACACACCAACTCAATCTGATGTCATAAGCGAAAATAGTATCACCTTTTAATACAATTTATTTATTTTCAAAATCATACAAAGTCATTCACTTCTTTTACTTTTTATTGATATACGTTAGGTTATAGAATTGATATATTTTGCACGTGATGACGATTCAAGATGCAAATTCAAATATCGTAATTAATATTTTTAGAATAATCTAAACAGAACGTTTAGATGACAAAACGAGATGAACAGAAAAGGCACCAAATAAGATCTTTAGAAATAGTAATCATTGTAGTATGTGACTCTCCTCAGATGACTTTGTACTGAGTGTCCATCAGAGAAGCCAGATGAATCAGCGGTTTGACCTGAAAGATGTCCTCCTAAATCAGCGCTTCCCCAATGTTAGTAGCTACCCCGACATGTACGCACATCTTCGACCAGGTTGTGGCCATAATGTGGACGTATGGGGTCAAAACGAAAATATATAATCTATGTTCGGAGATATATATATATATATATATGTATGTATGTGTGTGTGTCTGTCTACAATTCACCATACATTTGTCTCTGACACATTTTCTGCAATCGCCAACGATGTCTATTGGAACATGACATGCAAAAATAACTCACCCACCTGCACCCTCTGAGCTTACTTTTCTATTTAGCGTATATCTGACATGTAATTGGTTAATCAAGAAATACCCACAAGTCTAATTTTAATTTTGACCTTATGCTCCCCCCTACTTTTAACTGATATATATATATATATTTAAGAAAATATGCGTCCTCCGACAGGAATCGACACTGTATCCTATACGGAACCGTCATATGACCTGATGTGACAACCGATTGGGCTACAGAAGAGCGTTCGGTTAGCAATGTCGATTTTACTGTTTTTAAGCACAATTCTCTATGATTTTCTCTCCTACATTCATATCTGCTCAATGCGTATCCAAATGTAAACAAAGGATGTCACACATAAACAGAGCATTTACTTAAATATTTTTATCTATAAAAAGAACGCATAAAAATCAAAAAATGTCTTAAAAATAATTGTCGGACTTTGTCCATTTAATAATGTGTGACGTCTATTGGCCAGAATAAAATCATGAGTTATTGAAATATATATATATATATATTAGCTTATTTTAAAACTTTAGCTTTTATTCTTACTATTTATACACACACATACACAAATGTATACATACGTACGTGTGCCAGTTATGAAAGGGGAGTTGATTGTTTAGTCGGCATCTCCGCATTTTCTGGGAAAATATCGGAGAGTGGGCGTAAATCTAAATAACGTTTGTTGATAATCTAATCCACGTTACTTATTGAACTGTCAGTGTTTGATTGATTTTTTTTTTACTGATTATGCAGGCTATTTAAAACCAGAAAATATTTTTAGATTGTAAGAATTTTTTAAAGATAATGACTTTTTTTTTTGGGGGGGGAGGTATAATAATGGTTTATTGATATTAGTCTTACTAATTAACCCATAGCTGGGAGACGAAGAGGTGGATTCATATTTTTCCCAAGATTATTTGCACGCAAAGAACTCAGCAGGAATTGGTACTTTTCTCCACGATTAACAATTCCGAGCATTATACATTACATTACCAATTACATACATCCAAGTGTACAACACGTGGTATTTACATGCGATCACCCATCTAGTTACTGACGAGGATCGACCTTGCTTAACTTTGGTGATCGTATGAGAAACGGTGTTTCAATGTTATGTGTCCGTAAGCCTTGAGCAGTCGTTGTGTCATTGAGCAAGAAAAATAAGATTAAAGAAATCTAGTTAAAATTAATAAGGAAAACGACTCCCTACCTAGATGCTTATCTACATGCTTAATTATGTATGAAACAATGAAAAATGGGGATAAAACGAATATTATAAGAATGTGCTACTCTAATTTTCCTGTCTGATTGCCTTGAAAATCGATACATGAAATACTAGATTCTACTTGTATGCAAACAATGGTAAGAACTATTTCGACTACAAAGCAGGCCTCACGCGATGTTAGAACTTTTTTATCTACCAATTATGTTTCGCGTATAACTATGGATGTTGTGATTCTATATATGTCCGACAAATGACGAGTAACTCAATAACAAAATGGAAAACATCTTATGTGACGCATTTCGTCTTCAGACTAAATGCATTCATTGATGAAGCCATATTTATTAGAGGGAGGAAGCAAAATATACACAAACGTTGGTTAGAATCAAATGAAATTATAATTCCCTGTAGATTTTTTTTTTAATTTTTATTTTATTTCGGCATACAAGCAGAAAGACTTAAACTTCGTGCTAATTTTGAAGTGATTTTTTTCAAAAATGTAAGTAACCTTGGTATTGTCTCAGACAAAGACTAAGATGAACAGGGAAGACGAAAAGACCCCCAAATAAACTTGTGTTAGAAATGGTTACATTTTTATTTGATTGGAAATATGTTCTCTTTGTGCCACAATATACACAAACAGTAGGATATCCCATAAACGCGCCTGCATTTTAAAAACGGTGACATGAACATCTACTGGAGTAATAGGAAATAATGTATTAAAAATCCATTTATTTATTAAACTTTCTATTAATTTCTTGGGTTACATTTAATTCTCAAGAAAATACACGTGTTTGATTTTAATCATTAACTAAATTTCGCCCAATATATGAGTGTGTGTGTGAGTGAGTGAGAGAGAGAGAGAGTGAGAGAGAGAGAGAGTAAATTTAGATATAACTAAAAATATATCCGTTAAAGAACAATATGAATAATAAAGACAAAAGTAACACTTATCTGAGCCGACAAAAGACAATAGGACAATTAAAACAAAAGGTAAACTTATCATAACTGACGCGTTTCGTCTCTAATAGACTAAATCAAGGCAAAAATCATTTCCCTTGAAAGAATCCATCAGAGGACGAAACGCCTCAGCTAAGATAAGTTTTCTTGTATTAATAAAATGCCTTGTTGTCCTCGTATCAGTTTATCTTGTAAGTCAAGACTGAACTTCCATAGCAATTGATTGAATGATATTCTCATTATTCTCGTATGCCTAAATGTTAGCAACACATGCTATTCTAGTAGTGTATGTTCGTACCTTTTTTAAACACGTAAGCCATGTCGTTAACTGATTTACTAACCTGACCCTCCCAAAGAAGGATGTCTCCACAGAGTACATAAGATATCTAGTATGTCTGGGTATTTGGAAAAAATAATTACGTCTTATCAGAAAATATATAAAAACAAATTTAAGTTAGATTGGTATATTATTAGTATAGCATATTATTTATTAAAAATCAAACCCCGTTCATTTCCTCTGACTACCGCCCAGTGATGGGGAGGTAAAGTTTCGATTTAACACTTACAGACATCTGTGTCTTCTCGAAGTTTGAAAGAATGTTTTCAACCTATTTTTTCTGAATGTCCTACCACTTACGAAATGTTCTTATGATTGGAAAAATGAAAATCCATTAGTGTTAAATCTAGGGATTATAAAGAATATGGAAGAACATCTCGCCCTAATGATCTTGGTTTTTCTTGATTTTGTTTTTTAAAGTATGCCTTTGCATTTTCATGTTGCAGAATAGAATCTTTTCTTTTTACAGGACAATTTCCGACGTAATGCTTCATTAACCATATCAAGTTATTAGAAATATCAGTCTGCAGTAATGGCATTTCCGTTTCGGAGTAGCTGGTAATTGACAATTCCTTATGGCACAAAAGAAGGTTTATGTGGATGGAGTTCTGGTTTTAGTGTTGGCACTGGCTTGTCATTGATAACAATTGTCACATTCATTCGAAACCCATTTTTAATCCACGGAAACAATACGATGCAAAAATGAGATGTCAAATCTGATAACTAGATATCTTGCAGATATATTTCGTTCAGTTTAAAACGAAATCTCATGTGGGACCAAAATTCCATCCTTGCAGATTTACAACTTAAGCCCTGGAATGTACAATAAGGGATACGCTATCGAATATGAGATGATAAAGTAATTCCAGAACCTGTTTCCTACAATTGAACCACGATCTTGCTTTGGTCGAATCATATTTCATAGCGGTGAAATGCGTAATTACTTTCCGAACACCCTAATACTATGAGTTAAATAAAAGGAAATAATGTTGTAGACAAAAAAATACCAAAGATAGTCTGAAAACTTCAGGAAAATTAACTCCAGCTTAAGATATGCAACACGAACAGATTTAATAGAGTTTAATGATGACCTGGTTTTGTCTGAACTCAATAAAAACCGTGCTGCTACAGACGAAGACATAGCTTAAAAACTGAATTCAATTCATTTAACATTTCACCGTCTTTTGGGTCAACTTAGAAAGGAGCCTAAACTTTGATAATGGCTTCCCGAGAAGTCAAGAAAAGCTAACATTGAAGCATGTTTTTAGTGCTTGTTTGAACGCATCTTGCCAGTTTCGGGCAGATTAGTAAATGGGGAATAAAAAAATGGATATTTTAAAAGGATATAAACAACGCAGAATAGTAACACTTGAAATGAACAGGATAAAACTTAATTTAAAATGAATCTTCATCTAAAACAGCATGCTTAAATATTTGGTGAAATTTCAAGGAAATGGCTATTAACATTCAGATGACAAAATGTGGGACTATATCATGCGGATGGAACGCATAAAAAATCAACACTCACAGAACACATTGAAAGCAAGTAACCTATTTGACACTTTTGTGTTAATTGATGGCGGAACAGTTTTCACAAAAAAGAACGTGATCATAAAGGAGCAAATATTGCAGAAGCAACAAAAGAAAGGTAAACTGTTCAGAATCATTATTATTCATACCCCGAGAAGACAAGACAGAAATAAAGAAAGAGGGAGAGGAAGAGAGAGAGAGAGAGAGAGAGTTGCTGGTGATCTAAAACAAAACCTTGTGACCTTTGTCAGCACGTCTGATTAACTAAAGAGGACGTTTAAATTGAAGGAAATATTTGCTTGAAAAATTAGTTTTTCCAAACGGCCTCATTCAATTTTGAATGTCGTATCCCTTCAGGACGTAGACGATTATAAGTATTCACAGATTTTTTTTCTTATCTGTGAGTTGCCATGCAACCTTAGGAAATTTATTGAATTGTTTTCTGGTTGCCTTCCTCACCGACTGAAATTCAGAGTTTTCCTTCTCTTAGACTGGTTACCACCCACGAATAGAGTGTTCCGTCTACCTCGCTATTTAGCCGGAATAGACAGAAAAGAGATGAATTATTACGTTTCCTAAGGGTATCTGTACTGTGCGAAAGTGAACGCAACAGACGAACATGGATTTTAATGACGTAGATGATTATGATTCTCCACAGATTTTTAGAAAGTGGCAATCATGACCCTCCACATATTTTAGGGCAATCATTTTTGGCAATCATGATCATCCACCAATCTTCGGACATGGCAATCATGGCCCTTTACAGATTTGAAGATGTAGCCGATCATAAATCTCCAGAGAATTGTCTTCATTATCTGGGAATTACCATATATTTTTGTGAAAGATAGCGTGATCTGCCCAGTCTACATACCTATTTAATCTGTAGCTATGGGAGAAGAGAAACATTCGCGCATATCCAATGATATTTATGCGAAAATGTATTGATTAGTACGGAATTAATAATTGGATATTAGGATGAATTTTTCGGGGAGTATGAGCAGATTTCTTACCTTATTATGATCACTAAAATTAGTTGTTGATTTTGCATAATAAATAGTGCATAACTATGTTTTAATAAAATTAATCATAAGCGTTGGCTTCTCTTTTGAATTATTTTGGAGTCGTCGATAGAATTCTTTTTTTTTTTTTTTAGAGTTCGTTCATTTTGGAACTACAAAGACAATCATTCAAGGGTAGAAGAGGTGTAAAGTATGAGCGAGAGTTACATAGAAAAATCATACAGTCGTTTAATAATATCTTTCTTTGAGGATATGATCATTGTTCTGTCATCAGTAGCGTCTGTAGGTGGACGAATGTAGGCGTTGTCTGAATTCAATTTCTCTCCGACTAGAACTCTTTTCTCGTCAATCAACTTCAGTGTTAGAAGTTACCGCTTGTTTAAAGTTCGTTTAACTTACCGTAATTTTGCGTTAAGAAGTTTTGAATCGTTGTGAAACGCGTGTTTATTCGAACTGCCAGCCAGTACACCAATTCACACTTCTCAATAATCTCTCTTTAAAAACAGCAAATACTGTGTGATGATATTTATGTGGGTTTCTAGTAGTTAGAATTCAGTGGGAGGAAAAGACAGGACTGAAGACTGCAATATTTGTTGCACCATCCTTTATTGACAGTTAAAATTGCTTCTAAAGAAAAACTTGCTTAAATAAATGACATTTTGCAGCTTCTTGATGTCAGCCTTGTGTGAATGAAGGCAAAATATTTTTTTTTGAAATTCTGGTATATGCGATGTGTGTTTTAGTATTAAGAGATATTGTCAGTAGCCCTTGCCAAGTGGCTGAGCTGCCAAGGTAAAACTCAATGTTTTAAATCAGGTAGGTAGGTTTTCTTCACTTGTAGAAAGATTGAAACAGTCTTTCAGCTTTTTAATTATTCTGTAACATTTTACTATATTAGAGTTATTATCATTACACCAGCGATTCCAATTATTTATTTATTCATAGAATATTGTTAAAATCCAAAGAAGAATCTGCAATGTTACCTGTCCTGACCTGATATAACAGTTTTAGTCACTCCTCCACCGCCGTAAGGTAGATTCCCT